GTGTGGGGCTGCTGGCTCTGTGCTGGGCATGAGCAGACCAAGCACTTCCCCCTGAGCCTGTGATTCTCTAGGTTTGTGGAGGGGTCTGTCGTCAATGCAGTTTGGTACTAACTTCTCCTCCTTTCTCCCTCCCCTAGCTCTTGCTGCTGTTCCAGCCTCTACCCCTCCCATACCAGGCAGCCCTCAGAGGTGCTGGGACAGAGGCTGGACCTGCTGCCCCAGCTCACCTTGAACACTGCAACCTGGACCAGTCTGAGCACAACAGCCAGTGCCCCTGCCTGGGATGAGGGCCTGGTAGTCCCAGCCCTGGGAGCAGCCACACTACCAGGGAGAGATCCCCTCAGCTGGCCATATGCTGCAGTTACTGACACTGAGCACCACCCTGAGAGAGATCTGTGTATAGTGCCAGCGGATCCTGTCCCTGCAGTGCTCACTCTGCTCCCTCCAGTGCGCTCAACCCTAGCCCACCAAGTGAATCCCCTGCTCTTGGCCCAAGCTGCCCAACTAGTTACCATATCCCTGGTCATTTTAGGCACCAACTGCCCTTCTGTGTGAGAAGGCAGGAGCCCATAGCATCCTGTGTTGTATGGTCAGTCCCCTGCAGTGAGGGTGGTCCTTGCTAAGACAGATTCTAGCTGTGGATGTGATAAGATAGGGCTGACCCTAGAGGAGCACGTGGCCCCCCTTGGGTGTGATGAGCGAGGTGCTGGTGTGCACGGCAGGGGACTGCTGCTTGGCAGCCTGCTAGAAGGGGTTAAAGTGATGCTGTATCTCCTCCCACCTCAGCAGTGAGGGTGCTGCAGTAGTGTCTAGGTGTCACCACCACTCCAACCTTTGTCCAGGTTCTGAGAAGAACATAGGGCATTGTGTTTTAGGTTTCCCCTTATTTATCAATTAATTTATCTGAATTTATTTACTTGTCTGTGTTTGTTAAGTTTGTGTTGTGGAAATAAATCCTTTTTCTAGTAAGTGATGCTGGAGGCAGAGTCACATGCTGCTTTGAGGCTGAGAAACAGTCTTCGCTTTATTCAGACTTCTTCCTTCTTCCCTTCCCCCCAAGCCTGCTCTTGCACCATGAGAACAAGGCTGGGATCCTCAGCTGTTGAGCAGGAGGTTGGCAGCACACTGGAAAGTGCATAGAAAGTTTTATCCTTGCTGCCACCTGTGCACTCATCCTGTGGGACAAGGGTCACAGGTAGGCAACAGCATGTGCTAGAGGGAGAACTGGGTACCTGCCCAGCCACTCTGGTGCTAGGCAGCTGTGCTGGTGCCATCCCATGGCTGTGCAGCAGCTGGAGAAGCTTAGTCACCTCTTTCCCAGGCAGCTCCATAAGACCAGCGTGGGAAATAAGGTAAAAAGCAGGAAGCAACATCTTCCAGGGTCTCTTGAGTGGGCGTGCTTTTCCTCTTAAGAGGAGGGCAGCAAAGGATGCCATCTCCACAGATCACAACAGTTCAGTTTGGATCAGAGCTTCCCTCGCTACCAACTTGGGAGTTGAGCCTAGATGTCTTTCTGCTGCAATAGCAGAGAACATGTGCTGGCAAGAAGCAACTCCATCATCCCACCATTGCGGCATGAAGCAACGCTGTGCAGACATGCACTGGCCCCCAGTCATGCTGCCAGCCCGGAGCCGCTGCTGCTGGGGAAGTGCTCACTAGAAAACAAAACCAGTTCTGGTTGTCTCAAGGAGTTTGTTTATTGCTACAGGAATGGGAACAGCTGAGTTCAAGTACAAAGTGATAAACTTCATTGGGTCATGGGGGGACTCCAGCCCCAGAGGAGGGAGGCTTGTGCCTGAGCACACAACTACAGCCCAGACCTGCCCTGGGGCAGTGAGCTGGGCTGGAGTGAGAGGGTTTACCCATGGGCAGGCCCAGCCTGCACTCGCAGGGGAGAGAACCACTGGTCCTGGTGGTAGTGCCCAGTTAACGTGTGGGACACCACGAGGCAGACATGCCCAGGAGGGAATGTATGAAAGGAAATGCAGCCTGCTTTGGTGGTGCCTTAGGAACCAATCTCTGAGCCCTCAGTGCTGAGCCTGGGGTATTGGCTAGGACTGCAGGAGGTCTGTCCTGGAGGAGAAGCCATGACACAAAGCAGGACGCCTCTTAAGGAATGCTCTGAGAGGGGCCAGGCTGGACAGAATAGCTCCGTGGAACTCGTGGCTCACCTGGTTGCTGCAGTAACTTCACTGGCGGCTGTTGTTCTCTAGCCTGTGGGCTTGTAAATGACTGCAGAAAGGCCACCCTGGCTGATAAGCTGTCACCAGATTGCTCTGCAGACCGATGGCTGAGTCACAGGGTGGCCCAGTGCTTCAGGCCGCAGCCCTGAGTTGGCCGCCTCAGTGATAGTGTCCTCCTTATCTGAGGGACCTGCCAGGCTGCAGCCTTGAGCCTCCTGGCAGCAGAGGACTTTGCTCTACACCGTGTAGCACGGCAAAGGCTGGAGGCCAAGGAACGCAAAGGTTAGGACTGGGGCGAGGCAGAGAGGGAAGTTCGGTGTCTGTAGCTGCCTCGACCCACAGGCTGTGGTGATAATGGAGTGCTTTAAGAAAGAGTCCAAGCTCTTGGAGCCCAGGCTGTCAGCCAGTCCTGGTTTTGCACCAGCTGGTGCAACTGGACAGTGGTACCACTGGTGTCATGGCCCATTTCCTTGGCCTGGTGGCACCACCACCTTGTCCAGCCAGAGCAGGGTGAGCTGGGCCGAGCGCAGCTGCCGGCGGTGGATGCGGCAGAGGACTATGGCCAGCACTACGACCAGGATGCAGGCAAAGAAGAGATAATGGTTGTAGACAAAAGAGAGGCGCAGCCAGGAGGCGTGTGCTTGCCGGATGCTCTCCTGACGGAGATCCCTGGGAAGAGGAATCAGGACTGTCTGTGAGATGCCATGGAGTACCACTAGGGTCCTGCACCACCACTCCACTTGCCAGGGTGGCACAGTCTTTGCCCACTGCAGTAACTCCTGCTCCTCCCCAGCCACCCTTCCCTGAGCAAAGCCATCAGCGAGCCAAGGGTACCTGAGTGGCAGAAACCGCGTCTTGTAGAGGATGGGCCCCATGCACCTCCCGGTCGTACACCAGCTGGGCTGTGCGCAGGCTCGGGTAGTCCAGGGGGAAGCGGAAGCCCTGGTGAAGGACTTGGTACATCCAGGCCGATTTGAAGCACTGATACCTGCAGGCACAGCACACGGGAGTATCAGCCCAATCCAACCCCTCGCACCACAGTCCCTCACCCTGGCAAAAGCCACCCCCAGGAGGTCCAGCCATGGTAGCTGCCAGCCTAGTAAAGCCACTTACTTCAGCCGGTGCTGGTCAGCATGTGCTGAGTAGAGGCCACCACGGAAGCGCTGGGTCAGCACCTCCCATTGCTGGCTGCAGTACTCCTGGGGAACGGAGAAGTTGGAGCTCAGAGTGGAGAAACAGTCCCTGCTCCCTCTCAGCCCAGGAACAGCAGCTCCCCAGCCCCCAGGCTGGGGCAGCACCCACTTGGGCAGCGGAGGTGAAGGTGGAAGCACTGTAGTGGCCCCCGAGGCGCAGCACGTCTTCGGTGCAGTAGAAAAACTCAGAGAAGCCGTAAAACTCGCTATTGTCGAAGTCGATGGGTGCTTTGTAGGCCCCCACTAGGGAGGCCTGGCTGCCGTTGGGGCCAGCCAGGAGGGGCTGCAGCAGCTCCCTGCAGGCCACCCAGTCCCCTTGCCCCCGCACGTACAGGGTTTGGCTGTCCCTCGCCATCGTGTCCTCCAGCCCCACGGGCAGGCAGGGGTCCAGGAAGGGTGTCTCAGGGCTCAGCCCTGTCTGCTGGCCGTGCAGGCTGGAAAACAGGCCAGGAAGGAAAGGCAATTGCACAGGAGGTCTTGTACCACCCCAAAAAGCCTACTCTAGCACTGCCCCACATCCAGATACCCCCCACACCAGACCAGGCTGTGTCCCCTTGTACCCCACAGTGCTGGCACCCACCCTGCCACCTCCTGCCAAAGCCAAACTCGCCACATCTGTCCCATTGACCTGTGGCCACGTGTCCTGAGCACCTGCAGGGTGCAACAAGGCACAGCCACCCCACCCAGCTCACAGGGATCCGCACCCCTGCACAGCCCTCAGGGCCCTGGAAGCAGAGTTTGCTCCTGGTACAGGAGTATCGGAGCACCAAACCTCTCTGCCTCTGGCAAGAGCTTTACATAGTGCTCCGGGAAGAGGAGACAGAGAGCTCAAGGTGGGGATGTGATGGAAAGATGTGCTGAGTGAATTGTTGCTGGAGGAGGAGGGAAAGTCACAGCAAGAAAAGCCAAAAGCCACCAGAGGGGCTTCCTCGCAGCGTGCCACGAGGGAAGGAGGAAGAAGGCAGGGAGCTGTGGCACTGGTAATGCCTGCCAGGCTTGGAGAAGGGCAGCACCTGCGCACTGTGTGCCAGCCCTGGCATCTGCTGCTGCCAGCATGGCTGTGGGAGCTGTTATCACCACAGGTGGCTCTTGGGGAAAATCCAATGGGGAGAGGGCAGTGTGAAGGAACCAGCACCCCATTTCACAAAGCCCCAACAGCGGCACCGCCAGGCAAGGCAGCAATACCGGTTGTGCAGATAGGTCTGGTTCAGCACAAGCTCCTCATAGCGCTGCCGGGCAAAATTGCCCCCGAAGCCCAGGAAGGTGTTGACGTAGACGCGGTACATGTGGCCAGTGTGCTGCACATCACAGCCCAGGTTGAACTCTGCCAGCAAGCTCTTGGCAGCCTCCTCCTGGGGACGCAGAGCAGTCCGTGATCATCAGTGACCCAGGGAAGACAGGGGCTGCTCTTGGGGCCAGCTGGCCAGATACACACCTGCTGCGGGGAGGAGAAGGCTCCAGAGTCGGGCACTTCATAGGCGATCTGCAGGGAGGCGCCCCCCATGTCTAGGATCCCAACTGTTCGTTTCCGAACCAGGGACTCTCCCTGGTCCCCCAGCGCTATGGTGACCACTGCATCCTCCTCTGCAACCCACAGCGGCATGTCAGCAAGGGGCAGGGCCTGGGGCAGCATCTCCACCCTTCCACCTTTACCTCCCGCAGCAGCCTCATGGAGCTCCTCCACCCCTGCAAGCAGCTCCCAAGGATCATCTGCGGAGCAGCAGGTTCTGGCACTCAGGGCTGGCCACCCCACAGCTGTGTAGGTTTCCCAAAGCATCCACTGCTGGAAACCACTACAGGAACACTACTACAAACCCTCTCTCCCTGTTTCTTCTCCCAAAATGCTGCAGGTGTCCGCCTCCTGCATGCCGGGACTCATTCCTGCAACTGGGGCAGGGCCTCAGGTCCAGGAGGGTTTTGCACGCATGGCTGGGGTCTGGCATTACCGGGTCGGGGCAGACGTGGCCCTCTCCAGAGCCAGCCAGCGCCAGGGCAAGCTCCAGCAGGGCTCCACTCAGACCCTCCCAGCTGCTCTACATGCAGCCAGACTCACCATCCTCGTGATCAAACCGTCCCAGGACAAAGTTGATACCAATCCACGCGTAGACACCTGTACAGGGCAGGGTGAGTCATTACAGCAGTATGCTAAAGGGAACCAAGCAGTGCTCCGCAACAGCTCCTACCTTCCTGTTTCCCTGAGATCACTTCTGCGTGTGATTTGGAGAAGAGGAAATCAAACTCCAGGGGCACGTTCCTCACCAGGTCCTCCAGGATTGCAGCTTGCTGCCTGCAAGGGTGCAGGAGAGGGACAGATGCTAAGGGACCTTCACCAGCAACACTCGTTCGAGACAGTGGGGATCATACTGCAACACACTCCCACATCCAGCCCCATGAGCCCCATTGCTGCATCCGACGCACTTCGTAGATGAGAAACCGTATCTGTTCGTTTGAGACTTCAATTCCAAGCATCTCCTCTCCCCTCCCTCCCATCATGCTCAAACCCTCCTGCAGCCCTCACTGCTTACTCCTTTCTCAAATCCAGCCCCTTCTAGACTCCTGATTCTCCCATGAGGCACAAGACGAGATAGTTCTCTTCCCCCTCCTCGCAGCTGAGGGATCCCAGCAGGTCCCTGGCTCCCCCCGACAAGGGCCGACGAACCCACCTCTCGGGCAGC